TTGGAGAAGAAAGGAAATAAGCCAGGGCTTTCTTTGTGGAAGAAAAAATGATAAAAATAGAACAAGTGTTGGGAAGTGGACAGGAAACTCCAGATGCTGCTGAGGTATGGGAGAGGGGAAAAATTTTCTACTTTTAAAAAAATTTATTAATGTGATCTTATTTTTGGTATTTTCTTGAACATAATCTCAAGAAAAGATTTAACTAATTTAACCGACTTTTAATTATTTTTAGGAAAGAGACCGAGGTTTCTTGGGATGTAATTGACTCTAAAGTTATGAAAACAGGGTCTAATGTGTTTACACATCTTCTACAATATTATTATGACTGCTCTTAATAATCACAGCAACTTTGTTTTTATCTAAAATTTAGCTCAAATTTAGAGTGCCTTACTTTTGTCTTCAAAGAAACTCCTCTTTTCTGTCACTCCATTTCACCAATGCCCTTATTCATTGGTATATCCAATGATATATGTGGTATATCCAGTAACTGCCTTAGTCAGTTGCATCCATAATTACTGATATCAGAGTCAAAAACCTGATGTCATTACTGGTGTAATAATAGCTGTCTTTTTCACTTTTTAGAATGTTTTTTGTTTTTTTGTTTTGTTTTGTAACTAGAATGTGCCATGCTGCAGGATAACTTTTTCAACACTAATTCATTTGTGCAACAAGTTCTCTTAGAAACACCATCTACAGGTGTCTGCTTTAGAGAGTGTATAACATGGAGCTCAGAGGGGTGACCCTAGTGTGTCACAGAAATAACACTATACTGATTTTTTCATAAAAGCAGCACTTTCAGTAACCCCTTTTACACAGTTGTCCTTGGGGAGTATATGACATGCCAGGCTAACTTAAAAAAAATTAACAATTATTTCAACAACTCTGCAAGGTTGATGTGATTATTATCATCGTTTTGAACAAATTGAGACACAAGGAGGTTAAATATCTCACACAAAGCAAATCCTATTTCCACTCCTGGAAATATGCACCTTTCCCCCTCCCACTAAAAATAACTAGAAACTCTAGACATTATGTATTGAACAATGTAAGAAGACTCTGTAAGGTACAGAGAAGAAGGCAGAATATGCAGTTTTGAAATTCAAGGACTGCTGTGTTGGTGAGTGTCCTGGGTTTTTTGTTGGCTGCTACATCTCAGATAGGAGGGAAGATGTAGGTAACTGGTAAATGCCAACAAGCACAGACATAAATGGCCCAAATAAAAACCCGTGTTTTCAAGTCAGAGGACCAAGAAAGGGGCAACCTGTAAATCCAAAAAATTTTAGGCAATAGCCACTCTGCTACAATCAGACGCCACAGGGAAAACAAAATGAAGCAAACAGAAAACATGGCCATCCATATAACAAAGGCCAAGTCGAGAAGCCTAGACTTCAACCCTTGCCCAGCTGTAATGGGGTTCTTCCACCTCCCCACCAAAGTTGTTTCACTATGCTGAGTAGTGAAACAGACTTTCATCCCCATATGGTAAGAAAGAGACAGCCTTCCCTCTTCCCATTGGGATGGTGTGACAGAAGGCCCAATGGACAGCCAGGACTTGTACCACCACAGCAGTAACAAGGCCATTACCTACCCCTGGGCTGTTAGTGAAGGCCATGTGGGGATCAGTGATGAGGCATTTCTACCTGTTCCAGCTGAGGAGGTTGGTGGACACCTTATGCGGAGCTGGAATTCTCACGTCCACTCAGTAATAGTGAGGAATCCTCCCCCAGAGTGTCAACAGAGGCCAAATGGGAAATCCAGGCTTCTACTCCACTGGTCAGTAATGAAGTGGTACCCCATGTATCCTACCATGATTTCGATAAAGTTGCATCTTCAAAATTTTTTGACTTTGAAATTTAGGAGTTGCAGTATGTTGTGTACCATACACTTTAAGCAGTGCTCTCTAAATCAGGGTAGGTTCACCCTGGACTGTGTATAAAATGATTGGGATGTCAAATTAAAATTTAACTTCTATTAATATTTGGCTATCACATCCTTTCAAATGTCTGTTTATATTGAAATAACATTGTTTATAATGGTACATGTATGTCATTAGTATATAAAAACATATTCTGGGGATGAATGCTCAGTTGTTTTTTTGTTTTTGTTATTTGCTGTCTGGATACATCATGTTTAGAGACAAGCATTTTAGACAATTAAGATTTAAAACCTTTCTTAGCTGAGGATTGAGCCCTATAAAAATGGGTTGGTATGTTGGGACACGTACTCAGAAGAGTGGCCAAAAGGAAGATTTGGAAGTTTCAGGAGATAAATATGATTTTGTGTTTGGTTATTTTGACTAGATACAGGGACATACCTAGGTGATCACATATTTTCTCCTACTTAATGCCATAGTTCCAACGATGACTTAAAAGTGTAATTATTTTGGGGCACCTGGGTGGCTCAGTGGGTTAAGGCCTTCGGCTCGGGTCATGATCCCAGGGTCCTGGGATCGAGCCCCGCATCGGACTCTCTGCTCAGCGGGGAGACTGCTTCCTCCTCTCTCTCTCTGCCTGCCTCTCTGCCTACTTCTGATTTCTGTCTGTCAAATAAATAAATAAAAAATCTAAAAAAAAAAAAGTGTAATTATTTTAAGCCCTCAGGTAGAGAAGAACAATGCAGACATATCGAGAGCTTGCCTATCTGGGGTAAAGTCAGGTGGGCTGAGGTGATGTGGAACAGGACAGGGACAGGGTTTGCTGTAGCCTTGAAACCTGACATCTAAAAGGATAGGATATAGGTTCTAACAGTGCTTCTGAAACTCTGGCAGTTTGATTGATTCAATCAATATATAATGTCTCTAAGCCCCAAGGGTCTCACACTTGAATGAAATTTAATCAGTGATATTAACTCATCTAAGGCAGGAATGGTTTTGATGGAGAAAAGCGGAAAGCCTGAAAAATTGAGATTCACAAAGTGACGGTCTCCCTGATTTTTTGGTGAGTGCTGCTCCATTAAGGAAGACTCTGGATTGGGGAGATAAAAACACACTTGTTAATTCAGCTTTATTAGAAACTCAGTGACTCAGCGTATGGAAGACTACCACTACCACCACTCTACTGCCTTGGGTCTTTCATTTCATACTTCCATTTCATACTTACTGCTGGAAAAATGTGGATTCTTAAAAATCTTGCTAATAACCACTCAAAGTGGTTGATTGCTACTGTGTGTCAGACACTGTCCTTGGAGCTTTATATGTATTTGTTCATTTAATTTTTATAATAGCACTCTGGAGTGGAAGCTGTTCTTGGCTTCGCTGGTGAAGTGAAGGAACTTGATTCCATAGAGACTAAGAAACGTGCTCAGTGCCAAATTGTTAGGAAGTGGCAAAGCTGGGATTCATACTGGGGCACTCACAGCTCAAAGTCTGACTTCTTTTTTTTTTTTTTTTTCAAGATTTCATTTATTTATTTGACAGAGATCACAAGTAGGCAGAGAGGCAGGCGGGTGGGGGGGGAAGCAGGCTCCCTGCTGAGCAGAGAACCCGATGCGGGGCTCGATCCCAGGACCCTGAGATCATGACCTGAGCCTAAGGCAGAGGCTTAACCCACTGAGCCACCCAGGCGCCCTCAAAGTCTGACTTCTTAATCTTTCTGGCTGAATCTGGAATAAGGGAAGCTTTGGAAAGGAACATTGGTACTTAATTGCTGGTTTTAAATTAATGAATGGTCTTTGAGGTATTGTGATCAGAAGTACATAGATCTGTCGTGTGTAAAGTCGGTTAGCAGGACTTTATCATGGAGAGTGCATTCTCTAGTTTACTAAAGACTTCTGGTTTTTGGACTTGAAAGCCTGGAGGTTGACTCTGAACCACCAGGGTCATCCCATCAGTAATCCAGCCTCTGCTCTAGGAAGCTTCATTAGAAATGCTGATCCAAGTATTTCCTATAAATGTGATTTCTGTAGCAGGTAATTTGGGACTTTTTAAAGACTTCATTGCATTTTTCTTTTATGTGAACTCTTATGTCTCCTCATTCATTCTGAGTTCTGCCCCAATCTTATATACGGTCTCTGAGAAATCAAGGTTATCTCTTAAATTGATCAAGTTACTCATAGAGTAATGTTGTAAAGAACAATTATAGGGGTTTTGCTACGTTTTGTCCATTTGTAGCACTCAAACATATTTTGAAAAGTCAAGTTGATTGTTTGGTAAACTCCCAGTTGTGTTGGGCCATTTCTTCTTTCTGGAAAAGTACTCCTGAGAGTTGGCTTGTGTCAATTCTTACAGGCAGGAACACCTGTTAAACTATTTTCTTCTTGTCATTTACAAATGAGTTGTAGTTGTTGTTATGGTAGTTTTAAAAGTAGCATATTTTCTTTTTATTCTCTTCTTTCTCCAAAACCTGTCTCAGGTGATCCTGGCATCATGGACTATGGCAGTATCATGGTGGGGTTTTTTTGTGTGTGTGTGTTTTTTTGTTTTGTTTTGTTTTGTTTTAATACCTCTTCAGCTTCCTTTTGGCTGGGATGATCATGTGGAGGTCTGGAACCATCCATAGGCACATCGGTTTAAATAACTAATCGGGCTGAAACCTCACCTCCATGTAGTACTCCAATTGTCTCCTATTTTCCACTTACCTAGAAAGTTCTCATGTTGAACATAGCTCAGTCCAACAAGCTTTTCCTTGATACTTTTATTGTCTGCATATTTTTAATCATTTCTTTCCTGGCTATGCTGGTAATTGACATTTGCCTTCCCAGACTGCCTTACCAATCAGACCAAGGAAGTTGATCTCCTGGTTCTGACCACTTCCAGTAATTGCTTTTGGGCACCGGAGTGACTGCTTTTCTGTCTGTTGTATTATTAAAGAATTAATTTCCCACTGGCTTCTTGTACTCAATACAGTTAATGCAGTGGGATTTTTTTTTTTTTTTAAAGAGGGGAGGGTAAAAAAAATGATAATAAATAAATCTTTCTAATTAAAAAAAAAGGCAGCAAGATTAAAGGAAGGGGAAATAAATTGATATCAGAAATTCTGCTGCTTTCCTTATATTTCTATCTTGTACTCACTTTGGCAGCACATGTGCTAAAATTGGAATAATATGGGGATTGGCATGGCCCCTGCACGGGGACGAAACATAGATTTGTGAAGCCTTCCGAAGGTTTGTCTCTTCCCTACAGCATATGGTGAAAGGCCATTCTACCAAGGAGAATAGAGATAATTAAGTAAATAATACTTTGTTTAGTTTTCTAATTGATTTTTATTGATGGATAATTTTAAGACCTAATATGTTGATTGCAAGTATATCTTGGCTTTGGAAGGATTGACCATTTCTTCATTGATACTAGGAAGAAATAAAATATAATCATACGGACTAAAATATTTGCACAGAGAAAATAAGGGCTCAAATTAGTGGTAGCACCTTAGTTGAAATAAATGGCAAGCCTCAATGTTAGAAGGTTAGGTTGACGTTAATTTGTGAAGTTGCTCTTTGGTTCCTTTCATTGGGTGGTGATCTTATATAAAAATGCAGAAATAAAGATAGAGCACTGGGGTCATATGGGATCACCTTCTTCTCCAGAATCTAGAGGCAATTTTAGAATAATAAAAGCTTTATCCTCGCACTCTGAGTGGGTAGGATGAGGATGGGTAGAATGACTTTCTTTTTCTAGAAATGAGTAAATTAAAATGGAAACACTCTGTGGGTTCCTAAAGTCTGAATACCACTGTAAGAAATTGCTCTTCTTTAAAATATAATTCTCAGGGGCACCTGGGTGGCTCAGTGGGTTAAGCCTCTGCCTTCGGCTCAGGTCATGATCTCAGGGTTCTGGGATCAAGCCCTGCATCGGGCTCTCTGCTCAGCAGGGAGCCTGCTTCCTCCTCTCTCTCTCTCTCTGCCTCTCTGCCTACTTGTGATCTGTCAAATAAATAAATAAAATCTTTAAAAAAAAATAAAAAAATATATATAATTCTCATTATTAAAAATTGCCATAATTTAAAAGCCCAAATGGAGTAAAAATACTATTTTTGGCCAGAGAAAATTTATTAAAGTATATATGATGGCAAATTGGTAGGAGATGAGTTTATAGGAATTGAGTAAATTAAAAGTAAGGTTGCTGAAGGATTCCCTGCATTTGTACTTCAGCTCTGGGATTCAGTGAAAAAAACAAGTCTTCAAAGTTCAGTCCTTTCCTCATACCTTTTGACTTTCCAGAGACTTCTATGGTGGTATTAAGCCTAGATCTACCTTCTCAGAGCTGGAATCTCATCCAGAAAATGACTCTCTCCCAGTCTTTCTCGTAAGAGCAAACATCCTTATTTTAAAGGTAGCTGTTAAGGGCTACTGGTCCCTTTGGAAATTTTCTGATACTTTTATGTGGAGCCTATTTCATGGGGATCTAGGTTGTCTTATGAGGAACAGAATGATAACACAAATGATTCACTATCTAATGCTGAAATGTCAGACATCTGTAGCAGATTGACGAAGGGAAGACTTAGGGATATGAGAGCTTTGGGGTATTTTAAATCAAACAAATAAATAACCTCTTTGGACTTACTATGCATGCTTCCTAGACTGTGACCAGCTGAAAGTGTTACTGGTTCTAGAAAGCGATACTGTGCTGAATCATATTCAGAACTGTTGCAAATTATTACGTTAATAATTCCAAGTGAATCTTGCTTCATGTTATCCATGTCCCTGTATAGCCCTCTCCTGCATTCACTCTGGGTTCGATCACGTGAATTGATTGGGCCAGTGGTTCATCAGCAGATACAAACACAGGTAGGAGCTTGTACTTGCACATTGTGGTTTCTCTCTTGAAGCCCAGGATATCCAAGATAGCCTGCTTTATAAGCCAGGTAGAGGAAAACCAAGGCACTCAGATCAACAGCACCAGCCAACCACCAGCATGTGGCCCAATGAAGTCAACCAGCCTTCTGCTGACTTGCCAGCTTATTGCATCTGCATGAATGAGTCTAGTAAGCACAGCATGAAGCCAAGACAACCCTCTCTGATTGGGTTTTGCCTAAACTGCCAGTCCAAACAACTATAAACAGATAACTGGTTCTCGTTTTAATCTAGTAAATTATGGAGTGTGTTTGTTTCTCAGCTCTCGATAACCAGTCAGCATCCGCTAGAAAGTGCATTTGTGGGATACCCCAAACTGGGTGACTTCTTGTAATTATACACAGAACCACTGCTTGGTAAATTACATTCTCTGAGAGTCAGTTGGTGAATAAAAAATAGGAATAATGTTAGTATCCTTCTGTTTATATATATATTTTTAAATTTACAGAGGTCATTTAGTTTGTTCCTTTTCCAGTTACAGAGATAGATACTTGTGGGATTAAATGACTTGCTCAAAGTTGCAAAAAATTACCAGGAGGCAGAAATTGAATTAGCTTTCTTTTATATAAGTAATAAATATTTTGATCTTAAATGATATGGGATAAAACGAGGGTAATTTGCATTAAAAAGAGCAAAAACATTAAGTATCCAGGATTAAACTTGACAAACTTGACAACAAAGGAAAACACTAATAACAGGCTTTATTGGAGGATGTAAGAGAAGACTGGAAAAAGTAGACAGGCCTGCCAGTTTTCTGGAAAGACACGATATTGTTCAGATGCCACTTATGTCCAAACCCATACACTGAATTTCATCCAGCACTCTGCATTCTTCTTGTTGTGCTAGAATCTGAAAACTGATGCTGCAGCTCATCTGAAAGAAAAATGAATGAAAATGGCCCAGAACAGCAGTTAGAAAACAGAGCAAGAAATTTATGAAAAAGATAAATAATATTGGAAAAATAAACTGTGAAGCTATTGTAATTGAAATAGTACGGTCCTGACATCTTCACTCTTAGATAACATTGTGGCTTTCTATTCCATTGAGGACAAATAGAAGCAATTAGAAAAGAATTTCCATATGTTCTTTTTACTACATTTGTCACCCTATCTACATCTGGATCTAGATGTTTTGTCTCTTCTGCTGTCACCATGGATAAACAGTTATTGTTTATACCCAATACCAACCTCTTTATTTGATAGTTCATCCTATCTCCCTTTGCCTGTTATACTTTACTTTGCCAGTGATCTCTTGTCGCCATTTTTTCCTGCTTCACTGGATTATCTACTGGTATACAATAGTGCTGTTATTCTTCATGGTTTAAAAAAGGCGGGGGGGGAGTCTCCCTTGACCTTATTCTCCTCCAGTTTCTACTCTGTTTTTCTTTCAGCAAAACTTACCTCTTAAAGAAATGCCTGTAATTACTCATTTCACTTTTCTTCTCTTTCTCTCTAGAAATCATTGCAGTCTCTCTATGTACCACTTGATCAAAATCACTCTTGTCAAACACAGGAAGGACTTCTCTGTTGGGAAAGATGATGTTCGATTATAGAGCTTCTGTTTACTCAGTGTACCAGCAGTCTTTAACACAGGTGATCACTCCTACCTTGTTGAAACACTTCATCTGAATTTTAGGACACCATGTCATTTTTCTAACCTGCATTCAGCCAGTCTCATAGCTTTAAATAATATTTATGTGTGAATTTTGGAGCATATTTCCAGCCCAGGTACTTCATCCAAACTTGGAATTCACCCATCCATCCATCCGTTCAGTATACTTCATTGGATGTTTAGTAGACATCTGAACGTAACAGCTCAAACCTAAGACTCCTGAATTTTGATACCCCAAACCTACTGCTCTCATAGCCCCTTCTATCTAAACAAATGGCACCTGCATTCTTCCAGTTGCTTAGATCCGATGTTATGATGACCTCTCTGTTGCCTTTATTCCTCATAGTGGCAAATACTGTTAAGTCGAGTTGGCAAATGCTTATAAAAGCTCTTCCATCACTATCACCCTCATTCAAATCATCCTTGTTTCTCTCCTGGATTATCATAGTAAGCTCTTATTTGTCTTTCTTCTTAAGCCTTCCATGCAGGCACACTATACCCCAACTAAATTAAAATATCCACACTAAAGGGGTCGTCTTGTATCAGTATGGCTTAAGTCCTTTTTCTTCAGGAAGTAACAGCAGATGTGGGTTCAGATTCACATTCCACTATCTACAGTATGTCCAAAAAATCATGAACATTTTTGGCCATTGCTCTTTTTTTATGAAATATGCATGTCATTTGCTTTCTCTACCCCTTAATCTCCTCAAAATCTCAGTAGATTAAACAAATACAAACACACATCTGTGTATGTGAAATTTATGAAGTTCTGCCCAAATAGAACATGATAATAATAAGTAGGTAGCGTAATCATTGTGGCAACTGGATACATGAGTGTACAGTGTCTAATATTTCCTCAAGTGTCATAGAATACTAATACTTTCAGGTTAATAGAAATCATAACATAATAACCACATAGAATCTACTGCACAAAATGAATGGAGGGTGGGGAGAGGAATATAGCCCAGCCACTGGAGATGGATTTGTAAAGATTTATTGAGCCCAGGGAACAATCTGCAGTCTAGTAAATTGGCATTTGAGGGGTGTCACAAATAATAATGTGCTACACTTTACAATGCACAGGTGTCCAAAGGCTATTATAATCCAAGCATTGCTCTAAAATTGTATGAAAGTAATAGCATGGCTACTATGAGAAGGGTACTCCGAAAAGAGCTTTTTAAAAAACCTATTTAGTACAATCACGGCTGCCTTTCATCCAATAAAAACCATAGCTCAAGAAAAAAACTCGAGAAATTAAATTCTCTGCTCCCAGTTCAGCCACTACTCCTTTAAGTAATAACCACAGGATAAAATAATTGTATATCAGAAAGGTGTCTGAAACTTATGGCTTGTTAGATTCAACCCATGTAACAAAGAATTGTTGAAACCTGACAGAGGATCTAGAAGATACAGGGCGCCCCCCCGCCCACTGCCTCTACCACCCCCCACCCCCACAATCAGGCTATTTTTAGAATGAATTAAATGAGTGCATTCCGGGAATAATGTTGGTGTGGAATATTTTGGGAAATGTTCTTTAGGTCTGTAGCAAAGGTGGGGGACATTTGATGCATCCCTGCTGTCAACTGAGTCCTTGTGTCTGTTCTAGAGTGAAATTTCCATTATGTTCAACCAATTAATTGTTTAGCTGGAACTTCCCACAAGCACAGGTTCAGTTCTGAATACAAAGGAAATAGGAGAGCTGCTTTT